TCTGGCACAAACATAAAGCTCGGCCCCTTCTGTGTGAAAGCTCCTGTCTCAGTCCTGTAATAGTATGATGTCATAGTAGCACTACATGTGATCGTGGATCGACAGTGACCAAGACCAAATATTGGATCAACTCATCACATTTTTCATTGGTTTAAACTGGACTCCGACTGGACTTTTAGTTTACACCTTTAGTCCTTCTCAAGAGAGGCAAAAGTATAGTCTTATGTACTGAACTCTCTGATTGAAACCCCTGATCCACAAATGGATGAATAAAGGGATGAAAATGAATAAATGGTGAAGAGAGTGAGATGGAGCCGTTATTGATGAACTCGTCACATTTTCATGAGTTTCAACATTTCTCAAAACACGATGAATGGCCACAAATAATGCAGAAAGTTTCCTCTTGGGAAAAGTGAAGCACATACGACAGAAAACATTCAAAAGAAGCAATTTGACCTGTTTCTCCTCCACAGATCCTCCTGCTGCTCCTCCATCAGGCCTCCACACCTCCTGCTGAGGACTCTGCTTTTAAGCTAAGTCTCTCGCTCACACGATGCCTGGCAGCTCTGCCAAGTTTCCTCGTTCTGGGAGGGTCTCTCACTTCTCTTCTTCTTCTCTCCTCCCTCGCCCCTCTGCTCCTCCTGCTCCTCGTCCTTCTGCTCCTCCTGCTCCTCACCCCTCTGCCCCTCTGCTCCTCCTGCTTCGCACCCCTCTGCTCCTCCTGCTTCACGCCTCTGGCTTTTAGACTCTGGCTTTTATCAGCTTTTATCCAAGGGGAAACCTTTACATTGTTTTTAACCTGTGATGCACACTTTCCTCTTCTCTGGCTGGGACTATTGTTTGAATGGATTGGATCTTCCTTATGTGCTGAAAGAATGAATGGGATTTGGATATGACCAGAAAATGCAACGTCATGGAAGGGTTCTCAACCTGTAACTTAAATCTGTTTTGATTCTGAGTGTCCTATGAATCCTTGTTTGTTTCATCTACAGAAGGTCAAGGTTTGCAGCGATACCTTTTGTCATTGTTCCGTTGAATGGACCATGGTGGACCATGTAACTGACAAAACCTTTCAAATGGACTCATCCTCCTGCCCTGCATGTGCCCCAGACAGGGCTGTTGATGGAAACAGAAAACTATAGTTTCAATCAGCCTTCAAGGTAAAAAGAAAAAAGACCGTTTAACGTAAATGTGTTTATTAAATATCCACAGCATGTGTACGCAGGACGACAGACTCTGCTTACTTTGAGAGTTTTTGTTTGCGGTGACCAGCAGGTGGCAGCAGCTGAAAAAGGAATCCACGCTAAAAAAAAATCATGTTCTGTATCAACTAATTGTTCTGAGGAAGGCGGCCTCGAGGTTTACAGGCACAGTATATTTCTCAAGTCCCTCTCAAGGTTCATGTTTTTATCTTTCATTTCTATCTGTACGTTACCCCAGAGCTCTTCATCAGCTCCCATTTGCCCCTTACCTGCAATTAAAATGTAAAATAAGGGACCTTTAAGGAAGATATAAAAAATCTAATCCTCTGGAATTGAAAGTGAAAGTGAAAGTGGAGCAACTCTAGTGGAGCAACACTCGCAGTTCCAGATCAAGAGACTCCAGCAATAAAGGAGAGAAGCCTTTACCAGAGAGCAGGTATCTTATGTGGAACACAGATGTTCTTACAGCGAATATAGTTGTGCCAAATGCTGTTGAATGCACTGAATTCATTCTTTGCTCTCAACAGAGGCACTCAACAAAACCCTGGAACAAAAGTCCACCCCCTCCAGAAGACTAGATGCTGAAGCTGTCTTCAGAAAGGTTAGTCAGATCTGAGTAGCATCAACGTAGGCAAAAAGCTGGATGCAGACCAAACACAGGTGTGTACTGAAAGGTTGTGCTGATGAACTCTTCACATTGACATGTTAACTTTAACTCATCTCTGCAGCTGTGGTCCCAATGCACCTCAAAAACACCATCATCATTCCAGCACCAAAGAAGTCCCACCCTCCAGCTTCAAGGATTACAGCCCAGTCCCACTCACTCAGATGGACCACATCAAGTCTGTTCTCCCACCAACCCTGGACCCAGACCAGTTTGACCAGTGCTTATTGGAGAAATAGCTCAACTGGAGATGCCATCTGTGCTTCATACAGCCCTCACTCACCTTGAAACTAAAGACTTCTATGTTAGAATGCTCTTTGAAGATTTCAGCTCAGCATTCAACACTAGAATCCCCTTTCTGATGGGAGACCAGAGGCTGTACTGAAAGTCCTCCAGAACCATCAGACTGAGCAAAGGGACTCCCCAAGGCTGTGTGCTGAGCCCACTCCCATAACAGCCCCTCAAAATGCCTTCAGGAGGAGACTGGGAAATCCACGGCACAGGTCCAGTCGACTGAAGAAGCGTTTTGTCCACAAGAAGCTGGACTCCTTTCTTTACTTGACCTCCCTGTGCCCCCACACTTCACTCCCCACCCCCACTCTATCATCAAGGATGACAAACATGACAATAAATCTTTGAGTGTCTTAATACTTGTATGTTAGTCTTCATAGTGTGTTTAGGTCAGTGTTTTATATCAGGAAACATTGAGCAAACATTATCCCCAATCATAAAACACACTTTTTTTTACCTTCCAACATTAAAAAAGAGAGAAAGCCTTCATTATTTCATACAGGGCCTATTGTCAATAAAATATGGGTTAAATACATCAAGAGACTGTAAAACTGTCAGCTTCCATTTATTTGGATCAATGCATGAACTGCTCTCAGCTTTAATAAGGTTATTGGCAGGTTGGCTACCATGTCGGCTAATAACACGGGGCTAATAAACATTTCGAATATTAAGGGCTGTCTAATATTCGTTCGAATATATCAATATTGTTTAATTTTCGAATTATATTTGAATTTTGAAGTCAAACCCGCAGTGTTTACCAGTGCTGTAGAGGCTAGAGGACGCAGGCTGTTTGCTGCTCGTTCTGTGAGTGGAGGAGAGCTAGCGGCCGCTAAGTCTCTACTCAGCACTTTTTACGGCCTGAATTCATACACAAGCTTAATCAATGAGCTCAAGTTTTCAATGAAATTACGGATTATAATACAAGGGTTAGTATTCGAGATAAACTCTGCAGGCTGTCACAGTTCTTGCTCTAGCCTTATCCCCTTTAATATTCTTTCAAAATTTGATACATTGACAACTTTATGCCTTTGTTGTTCTCATTAGCAGAAATGTGTCCAAACATTCGCACCTTCAGACTTATTTTGGCTGTAGTAAGGTTTGGATGTGTTAAGGGGATTGTCTTGACAAGGAACATTTTGACGGTTTTTTTTTTTCATTCATTGATTCAGCTTGTGTATGAATTCAGGCCGTAAAAAGTGCTGAGTAGAGACTTAGCGGCCGCTCGCTCTCTTCCACTCACAGAACGAGCAGCAAACAGCCTGCGTCCTCTAGCCTCTACAGCGCTGGTAAACACTAGGGCTTTGACTTCGAAGTTCAAATATAATTCGAAATAAAAAAACATTGATATATTCGAACGAATATTAGACAACCCTTAATATTCGAAATGTATTATTAGCCGACATGATAGTCAAGCGCGCTTTGATGACGTTGCTGTTTACGTTACTTTTGCTCACCTGCCAGTCACCTTATTAAAGGCATAACATCTAACTTGTCTTTCAATAGAATTATTTCAAAACGGCTATAAACTATAATGGCCTATAACTACTTTTGATTCAAAGCAGCTTCTTCTTTATAGCCTTGAACTTGTTTAGTAATATCCTTTATATAGCACCTTTCACAGACCCAGTCTTGAGGTGGAATCAAACCCAGGACCTTCTTGTTGTGAGGCTCAAGTGCTAACCACAATTAATTATTTATTGTGGTTTAAGCCATTTGTATTAATCCTCCAAAAACAAGCCTTGTGTTTTTCAGTGTTATTTTCAGGTCAAAATCAGACCAACTAAATTCTTGTAAGGTATTTATTAGAGTTGTAGACAGACACAAAACAAGGCGTAATAGTCTGAAAGGTAAGAGCTGGACATTCAGAGTGATCAGATTGTAGTCTTATGTTGCAAGACCTTCAAAATAACAGGTGGTACACATTAACCATCATAATTCCTATATATAAAAACATGGTCAAAATGGTTTATACTAGCATGGTGTGTCCATGGAACAATCACATTCTAGATTATCTTACTTGACAGTAATGAAGAGGAAGGAAATGGCTATGAGCCAGTAAGTCAAATTAGCAGCAGAATTGAATTTGATAAGTAAACATATAGTTGATACTGAGGAGACAATGAAACATGTTAAGAAGCAAATTGCATAAACAAAAGTTTGCATCTGAAATCAGAAAAAATACCCCCATTTTTCTGCAGCCTTCATTCTCGTTTTCAGTGGATTAGGAAGGAGGTATTTTTCTTAACAATTACAAGCACTGCAATGCATGTACTAGGCCTGTGGGTGACACCAACAATATCAGATAAGGATAACGGTCACATCAGAAATCTTTTCCCAACAACGTTCTTGTCCTCAGATGAGAGAGTAACAATGATTAGGTGCAAAGAAAAGATTGGAGATTTCTGATACCTGGCTGCATGTATGAAACCAGGTAATTTCCACTTGTTCCTCTTATTAGGTAAAGCAAAGTGATCCCAACACATGCACAACATAAAAAAGGACATTAATCCAAAGACACGTCAGCTAAACATTGGAGTAACTTCCACCTAAATGCATTTTTACGCAGTGCTCAGACCAGAAACTCAAAAAGGCAACCGTCACTGTCAGAGTGAGTGCGGTGTAAATCCAGTTAAACAAAATGTTCTTTTGGCAGAGATTGAAACTTTTCGGTCCTTTTTGCATGGAGAATGTTAGTAGTACAAAAAAGCAAAGTGGTGAAAGTTAAACTCCAAAACTTCAGCTTTCACATAAATACAGTTGTCATAAATATGTTCAAATAAACATTAGAACATTTGTGGGTCTGAATGTTGCCAGACACATCTGATTGGACGGTTATGGTATGGTCACTTCCTTTTCTGCACTTCCTGGAGCAGCTTGAGTGCCGCCCCATTTTTGGGCTCCACTTTCAGCAAGCGGTTGAGGTCATCGACACAGGACTTGAAATTCTGAAAGAAAGGGAGAGTGGATGTTTTAAATCCACGTTTCTCATATGTAGAATGATAATGAATTGGCAATTCAATGTTAAAAATGTCTTGTTTGTGCACATTAGAACACAAGTAATTGGTTCCTCTAGTTCAGTGTTTTTCAACCACTGTGCCGCGGCACACTAGTGTGCCGTATGATATTGTCTGGTGTGCCGTGAGAAATTCGTCTACTTTGTCTAAAAATAACTGCATTAGCTGTTGACGAGCGGTGACTTGTTTTGAACTGTGGAGTAACCATGTAATACTTTTTCAAATCAGTAGATGGCAGCAGATAGCTAAGTACTTTGAAACTGAAAAATTGGATGCGACCACTGGCTACAGGTCAGCATTGTGGCGAGAAAGGTAAAATTGGATGCGACCAACAAATGTGTGAGGGAGCGAGACAAGAGCTTTGTGGCGAGTGAGAAGTGAAAGTGATAGAGACGTTTTTGAAAATGAATTATGCCGTTTCTGAACAGGATTAACATCCTCCGCTCTGCCCCGGGGCAGCTGTGGCCGCGTTGTAGTGGTTTAACTATGAAATGTACAATCGCGAACGCACTTCTGAACTGGGTACCGAGCGCAGACCATAGTCGAGTGGACAGAACCACAGACATGCGGACCGGACAGAACCATAGACATGCGGACCGGACAGAACCATGGACTCGCGTTCAGGACCTCCCGTGTCCCTCATCCAAAACTCCTGAATTTAAAGCTCGGATACCTAAATTTTTCCCATGCACTAACAATGCATGTTCTTTGTGTGAGTTATTTGACTATTTGGGCAGAGAGTGGATTTTCTTAGTTTTTTTCCACACAGTTAGTGCCACTTTATTCCCAAACTCTTGTTAATTGTATCGAGAAATATTAAATAAAGCTTAATGTCAAGGCCTGGACTTAAGCATTTTGATGAGAATAACTGTATATTGTGAATATAGGCTACAGAGTATACTGTATACATTATAAGATAAGATAAGATATACTTTATATATCACACAGAGTATGTACAGTATATATTTTTACATTAGTACTGTATACATTTTTACGTTTTCTCCTGGAGGTGTGCCGCAAGATTTTTTCAGTGAAAAAAGTGTGCCTTGGCTCAAAAAAGGTTGAAAAACACTGCTCTAGTTCACCTCTGTGTGATAGCACACTGCTCGAATGACCTACAGTACTCCATGAGAGACAAATATATAAATATAAGGAAAAAGTGCTACTATTTAGGGCTCTTGAACATGTTCAGTCCCTCTCCCTATCGTTCTAGGGCTCAACAGACTTTAACTCAGTCCTACATCTGTCCATGGGAGTGGAAGCCTTGCTTAGTTACAGAGTCACTGTAATAGGTTAGGGTTAGGGGAAGACATTGCTTATCCTATGGACCAATGACTTTTATGGTTTTATTTCTTACGTGATCTCATTATTTCAACAATTCTGTGATGTTCAGGTGACTGCTGTTGTATCTTTGGGCTATCCAAATTGAAGTAATTTGTTTCCCCCAATAAAATTTCCATTAACTCCACACTTCCAGACATCGGACACATGGCAAAGCAATAAAATACAATTCAAATGTGATTTTGTAAATTTTTCCAAGTCATATATAATTCCGTTCTCACTGCAAACAAACTGACAGTAATTAAGAGAGGTGTCCCTGACCTGCAGTTCCCGGTGCGCTTGAGCCCGTCTGTACAGTGCCTTGATATTGGAGGAGTCCATGTTTAAGGCCACGTCACAGTCTGCCACCGCCTCTCGGAGCTGCTTCACCGACAGGTAACACAGGGCTCTGCAAAAAAACTGTTCAATCACACAGGCTGCCACGCCTCAGTACTGGGATCCTGCCCACCACTTGTTCCAGTTCTATTATTCTAATTTTATTATTTTTTACTGATGTCACTGGGATTTTCAAGTTTATAAATTACATGTTGGGTTCACATCTCAGAATAAAGGTAATTATTATGTGGTGGTTTTCTTGAGAAAATGTGGTTTAAAACATGCCTTAGTAGCCCATAACTTCTCATCATCAATGCTGCAAGTGAATCATAAAAATGTAAAGTAATTTCAGGAGCCACTTAAAATAGTGTTTGTGTGGTTTAGTGAGTCCGTCTACATACATAAAAAACAAATAAATAAAAAAGAAACGTAAATCAATGAAATGTGTTCATATGTTTGCCATGATGCGTGCTTATGACCTGTTGGTATAGGCAGTGATTTCATGCGGGTTGAGTTGGATGCTCTGGCTGTATTTGTCAATGGCCTTTTGGTGCTCGCCCTTTTTCACCAGAGCGTTGCCCTCCTCCTTCAGGGTCTGAGCCCGCTTTTTCTCCTTCTCACTGGGACCTGCAATGCAAACACTGTCATTACACTGCTTTATCTAGCATTTGGTTACACACCATCATGAGTTTATTGTATTTGGAGAACAAGAACAAACTAAATAAATAATTTGTTATTATACATCAGAGGAGACTGCTTGAAAATGTGTAGATGTATTGCTACCAGAGTTGTTGGTCTTGCAGTGGTTCTGCTGTGGAGAGGCTGGTTGCTGGTTGAGGTTCTCCCTCACCGACAGTGGGACAGTGGGGATGGGGGGCAGCTTCTCTCTCCATGAGGGCCCGTCCACTTCTGTGAGAGCCTTGGTCATTCTGAACAACCACAAAAAGCCATTATTTACAGATTTCAATGTACAAGCAATACAGCCAAGTGATGATTCTAACACATGGGCATTTACTGTGAATTATCATGAATACTGTTACTTGATTCCACATATAAATTATTTAACCATTTATTTTCAAAGATAGGATGAGCCTAATGTAAATATGTTATTGATAGAAAAGTCCACAGAGTTGAATATTTGCTTGATACAAGTGCAGTCAGTATAACTCGCTAATAATCCCGTTTACATGAACTAATTTCAACGTCTTTTTTTTTTAATAGTGTGGGCATCCCTGCTAATCGATAACAAAATACATTAGGTAACAATCCAAATACCGTCTTTTTTGGAGGGGATTGGATTAAATAATTGATTAAATCGTGGTTAAATATTTTAATTGTTTGATAGCACTACTTGAAATGAACAAAAGCAATTCCTGAAAGCTGGTGTACCTACTGTAATTATTTTTCATAAATAACACATGTTGCTGGTCCCAACATAAAATAAAAGACTATGAAAAAATGAGATCACAACATCAATAAAAATCTGTCATCTTGTATACACTCTTTCGCCTTGTGTGTCACAAGGCTGGCTGAGTGAGGGTGGTGCCATCTTTTTCACTATCTGAAAATTTAGATTAGTGAAAACATATTATTTCAACAGTAGCTCAGTTGGTAGAGAGTAGCCATCCTCCTGTGGACTCACCACCTGCAGGAGGATCAGTGAGGGGCTGGTGCTCTGTGGATTGGGGGTAGCTCAGACTGCAACCCTCAACCCAGAAATGTATTAAGGGGAAGAAATTGGATGGATGGATGGATCGATCATACATATTTCCCTATAACTGTAATATTAGACATGATTATAAATATTGCTTTTCATATCCAGTACCTGTAGGGCACTTCCATAAATTACATTTCCTGCTGCCTCAATTTATAAACATACACTACATACAATTATTTCTAGCTGGGGATGAGCTTTTCCAAAGGAAGAGGGCATTCTTCAGCCCATGGGTTTCTATTAGTCAAAACAATTAGCATTAGTGTGGTGAAAAAGACTAGAGAAAACTATTGCAGGAAAGAGTAACCCCATCAAATGCCTCATTTTAAGAGAGAATGTGGTAGAACTTTGATGGTTGTTGCAATGCCCAGTTTCACAAAATGTATAGAGAACGTTTTCCTTTCAAATAAAACTATATGAAAAGCAAAACTGACGGCTTATATAAAGTACACACACTTGCATGTGTATGCATCGATCATTTCATCACAGTGTCCGGACCTGTTGGTGCCGTCGTGGGCAGCAGTGATGTTACAGTCCAGCTGCAGTGCAGTCTTGTAGTCCACGTAGGCCAATCTGTAGCGCTCTAGAGCCTCGTAGGCTGCAGCGCGACGCAGCAAGGACTTCACATTGAACGGGTACAGCTCCAGAGACCTGCCAGCCATCAGCGGGAGAGGACGTGATAAGGTCAGACCACATTTAGTTTTAGATCAACATTGAGATTTAAAATGGCCAAAGCATGTAATGATCTACAATTGTCACATAATGACAACCGTAACATTAATGTTTGATTAATAGAAGGCAAAGTGTAATAATAACAACACTAATACATACACATTTTCTCAAGAAACAATTAAGAATAAAATGATGGCTTACGTGGTGCAGTCTTTAACACATTCTGTGCAGTTGCCGTCTTTCAAATAACTGGCAGCACGGTTTGAATAGAGAATCCCCAAATCCTCCGGATTTTTCTGGGCTGTATGCAAGGAAAACATTTGAGTATGACAATGATTTTAAATAATAGACTACCCATTCAAATGTTACTTTATATATGTTATTACACATCTTTATCTGTGTGCCCAGACATCAGGCTGTATAAACTAAAACTTTCTGATGACGTTTATTTACATTGATTCAGTCTAAATAAATAAAAACAATGGCAAGGTTTGCCAGAATGTCTCTTATTAGAGATGTTTACCATTATTAGTTAATTCCCCAGAAGTGCTGTGTTTCTCCATTGTCGACATAATGAAACGTAACAAATGTTCCAAAAGAATTTGATTTAAATTAATTTGTGGCAGCATCTTACCTGCCTTCTCCAGCTCTTTGATAGACTGGCTGTAGAAGTTGGTGGCCTCTCCATACTGTCCCGTCTTAAAGCACTCATTTCCCAATTGCTTGAGAGCTGACCATGACTGAGACTTACTTTTAGGAGCCATCTTTAAATGTACCTACAGAGAACACAAAATTGTCACTTTTGTTATGTTATACATAGTAAGAAAGTCAATATTTACAAATGTATTTAAAAGGACCCACAATTTCCAAAACATTTGGTCGCATATATTAATCAGAATTATATAAAAGCCCAAAACTACTGACTCCCATGGCAGCCATGTCATTATGGAGGTAGTCAAATTTCAACGATGACATTTCTCCACTTTGACACAACACAAAATCGTCCAAAATTAAATTCTCTCAAATCTCAATGTCCTAAATGTATTTTTATATTTGGCTTACAGTTTGTATACTTAATTTATTACCAAATCTTTAGAGCATCAACAGGGAAGTTAAACAGATAAATACATAAAATAATAATCTAACATTTAAGTCATTACATTTTTACATAGTAATTATTAATCAGGGGACACAAATCATAAGATTAGAGGAAATTACGGAAAAAGTAACCAGACAGCTGACGAAGAGTATTTTTACGCTCATTTACTAAAGGATGTAACGTTAGTGACTGGTGGGTGTTATGCCAAAGTTTGCACCCCCAATTGAACGTCGTAATTAACTTTCAAGACAAAAACGAAACTGAAACACATTTACACTCAAAATGTATTTTCACATACAATAAATGCCGACAATGTCTGTGTAAATGTGTTATAAATGCATCGTAGCCATAAGAAGTCTAGCTCGGGCTACTGTCACTGAAGCTAGCATAACACCGGCTAACTCACGCTGTCTTTGGCTAATGCTAAACAACTATGCTAGTCACTTACCGGCACCTAGAGCAAAGACTGCGGGAAAACCCTTGTCGTTTTCAACTATCAGCTCCTGGATAAACCTGCGAACCCTGGACCTTGTGTTATGTCGTGATCGCTGACATTATCCTAAGGACGTTGTTCAGTGTAAACCCAGCTCTGCTGCACACCAAGCTGTCACACGCTCTGCTCTGCCGGAGAAGGGGTACGGTTGTGGGGGTAGGGTGTGAGGAAGTTGCGGGCTGCCTCTAGTAACTTCTCAGCGGTTCAAAGAAGAGGGAGGGGACGGACTTTAGTTGACTAGGATCGATTTCGTTTCAGCTCCAGAGATGTGTTAACCAGGGATATTTCGATGAAAACGCGCCCTCTAGTGGTATTTTACAATATGTGTGTAGGCTGTATCCGATCCGTAGTCTATAATAAATAACAAAACAAAAAATAAACACACTATGGGTATTTTTGTATTTATGGGGTAGATGGAGCATGGTATGTGGGGGGATAACGTATTCTCCCACATTCTTATTTTTCTGAATCAGACGCTGTCGTTTTGCACAGATTCTTATACATTTTGTATACAACCATTGCCAACAGTTGTTGTTTTAAATGATTAACAGCATATTTCTTTTATTTCTTTATTCCACACACAGATACACTTACAACACGCACATACAGAACACATCTACAGTAGTGTACTTTTGGTTTATATTTTTCAAAATTGAAAGTAGGTGTAAGGGACAGAAACACACACAAGCTTGAACATGTCAAAACCACAAATAAAGTCCAAAATCAAATAAACACTAAACACAATCAAACTGACCTAACACAAGACCCATGGTGATACCCTGCAGCTGTCCAGTTAATATACTCAGGGGTGCACATAACTTTTTAAGTGAGGTTCTTAGATGAGTACCAGGAAATGGTGTTTGGTACTCACTCCATTTGTGGCGCACGTGGTTCTTGAGATTTTATACTTGCTTCTTTTAAATGCTAAAGTTTAGATCAGCTCAGATAATTCACTCAATCCAAGTCAAATAATGACTCACAGGTCTCTTTCCTAAAAATGCAAAACAAAACAAAAAAAACAATGTTCTGTTTGATAAAACAGGCGAGCTCGGAGTCCAGTGCTTAGGTGGGTTTATTTTCTATACTTCCAGAGTGCAAAAAAAATGGTGAAGGCAGTGCAGAGCGTATTTACAACGAAACTAGCAAAAAAAAAAACTAAGTTTCAAGTTACCTCCTCTGTAACCAGTGGCAGACTGTGCCAAACACGGCTCCTGGGCCTGGCCCCTCTTATTGAGCAAATTATTTAGGTAGAAATAACTTTAAATTACATCATTATACTCTCAAAACATGTACATTTAATTACGCACATCACATTGGCATAATTCCCATTTAACCCACCAGGAAATAGTGTCCTGGTTCGATCCTCGCGCACAGACCCAGAGGAGCGTGACAGACCGCTAAATGTGTGTGTCAATGTGTGCTTGAATGTATTTCTGTCCTGCACAAGTGTGCACCTTTGGCGAACTAGTAACTGAGGGGAGAAACAGACGAGAGAATGGATGATGCTGTGGATGTTAAGTATGAATGGAACAGGAAAAAATGTGCACGAGTGTGGAGTGGCATGAAAGTCAGCCTTTAGTATAATACTATATTTGCGCACGTAGCTAGAGACGGACCGCTCCGTCACACTGACCTTGCACCACGTCCCCCTATAGGAGGAGCGCCCCACTATTTGAGAAGGACCAGTGTTGCCAACTCCTCAGTAAGGAAAGTAGCTATTGGCTGTCCCAAAAGTCGCTAGAAGTCGCTAAATGACGTCATCGCCTAATTTGCATAATTTGCCATTTGCAAATAACTGTAACGGACGCTGTAGGAGAGAGGAATAAGGTCGTGGGAGAGACAAAAGTGAGTAAAAACACCCTAAATATGTTTAGAACTACAAATGTACAAAAATAATTTCAACATTAACAACATTTAATGATTTTAATGCTTTGTCTAGATCCACATTACACACATCAGTTTTGTCCTGTATTGTTAAATGTTATAACAGCAAATGTAATCAAAAGATTGTTATGTAGGGTGAAATTGCTAGCTCTACAACCAACCCTCCTCCTTTATCCGGGCTTGGGACCGGCAAAGTGACCCAAAAGACACACTCTGGCAGAGTTACTTAGGTTTATTTTTGTACGTTTTTTTTTTTTTTCCATAGTTTGGCATAACAAATGATTTAATGTGACCCACTACTGAGAGAAAACAGAGTCACGGACAGAGCTGCCGCGGATGGAGTGGGGGGTAGTGGGGGGAGGCGGTGGTAGGAGTGGCCGGGGAGCTTTGGATGTGTGGTGGTGGTTAGTGATGTAAAGTTCGATTCATTTTACTGACTCGAGTTAAAGTGAATCACTCACCAAAGTGAATCGGGTGTTTTGAGTCATTTGATTCAGTGATTCAGTTGTTCAGAAAAAAAACATACATGAACACAAAATGGCAATTTACAATCAAAACATTTATTAAAATTTGATAAATGGTAACAATAACAAATATGTAAACTAATTTGACAAAATATAAACTCTTTAAATTTAACAATTCAACAGTAAAATTGTGAACAAAGCAGCAACAACATTCCAAGCGAGGGGCTGTCACAATACAAGAAATACAATAACACGAACAGATTTTTTATTGTTCTGTATAAAAAGCTGGCATGCATGCAGGCCCTTTAAGGGGCGGAGTCTAGCCCACCGGAGCCTCCACACGGAAATTGAGTGAAACAAGGAGAGATGAGAAAGGAGCGGAAAGGAGACGGAGTTGACACCCTTTACTAAAGGGCCTTTAGTGTTTAAGTACTGTAAGTTTCAGTTTGCAAGTTTGTCAGTGTACTTTGATGTTTGTGCGTGAATTACAAGTAAGTGTATAATGTCATGAGCCGAGTTTCTAGTGAAATGTATACGGTTTCATTGTTAATTGGTGCCATGCCCTGTTCACGTGAACAATTAATGAAGAGCAACCTACACGGTTTTTATATAGAGTTGAATATACTGTAGTGTTTTTATTTGTATAGAGACTAATATCCTATTTTTTTCTGTTTTATAGAACCACACTAAAGTTATTCAAGTCTGCACCAAGTCTAAACCGTACTAAATCAATCAAGACTCCTTTTGGAGTTGATGCATACGCAATACAGTAGGTGGGCCATATTTTCTTATTTGGAAAATTAAATCGCAGCGTGAGGGAAGAAATTCACGGTGTTTTTCGTAGGGGCAAGACGCAAGTTATAAATTGTAATTATAAATTGGCATTGAGGAAAACAAGCTGCTGGGACTTTGCGCGAGGTGAGCCTGTTTCTTCTGTCAGTCAGGATTTGCCCTGTTTTTGAAAAGATGCGCTCTGACGGTACTGATGTCGCCACAACGCAGAGTCTGGTTTTCATTACATCACATGCATTTTTGAACACAGTGGCTCGAGATCTCCACCACTCCAGAGGGTCGTTGGTTCTGAGAAGGAGATGCTCAGAGAGGTACCCTTTGATCTCAAGCATGGCCTCTGTTAACGGGTTTTGCACTTGCGAACCTGGCCGAAAAGTGGCAACACGCTCCTCAAAATCTGCCCACAGCATTGACTCATTGGTTGCAGGTCTGACATCTGAGCCAGCCTCCTCTCTCTCTGCATTGGATGCTGCAGTGTTTTTTCTTATGGAACGAGATATTTCCCCCACAGTTCTTGTCACAGCCTCCTCAGCATGTCTTTCATGGACAAACGCATGCTTTTTGAATCTTGGGTCAAGGAGAGTAGCATCTGCTAGGGGGCCGACCTGTTCAATCCCTCCTAGACGCCTGGTAATTTCTGCCATCAGGATTCCAACCATTTCTTTTACAGGTTTGTGAAGGTTTGGATTCCGTTGATGGTGTGCTGTAGCCCTCTGGAGGCCCCTTGCGATTAAAATGGCTTTAGAACCAGTCACAAATCTGTAGTAAAAAAAAACAAAGTTTGTATTATATTTTTAACATAATATCATACAGCTATTTATGCATATTTATTTATTGGTTCACATGGCTGTCACAATTTGTATATTTTCAAAATGTTTATTCAAATAATTTAAGTACTGTGTGTGTGTGTCATGTATTTATTTATTTATTTGTATTTATTGCCATTAATGCTATTACATACTTCTCTGCACTCAGCTCCACTGTAACTTCTTCAAAGGGCTGCAGGACGTCACAGGCCTCCTTGATGATCTCCCAGTCCGCCTGTGACAGTACTTGAAGTTGGGGATTAATCAAGGCCAGTGTGGAGACGAGGGGCTCCTTGACCTCTGTGATCCGCTTCAGCATGTAATAGGTAGAATTCCACCTTGTAGCCATGTCTTGCTTCAGGATAAGTTGAGGCTGGCCCATCTGCTGCTGCATCTCCCTCAGTTTTGCTGTGGCCACTGTACTTCTGCGTGTGAACTCGGTTATGGATTTCACCTTTTTAATGATCTCCTGCATCTCAGGCTGCTGTGTTGCACTTCGAACTATAAGGTTTACAATGTGTGCTAAACAGCTCACGTGGTTCCAGCGCAAAATATCCTTTACAGCTTTTTTAATGTTGGCCGCGCTGTCACTGACACAAGCCACTATTTTATTTGTAATGTGCCAATCATTTGCAACGCGTTGTAATTGCTCTGCCAGATATGCTGATGTGTGACTGTCTGTGAGCTCGAAACAGTCCAACAGGTTTGACTGCAGTTTGAATTCACTTGTTACAAAGTGACATTTCACAGTCATGTAGCCTGTTGTGGTGCAGCTAGAGGTCCAGCAGTCAGTGGTGAGACACAAAGCAGAGGCCATCTGTACCTTCTCCAGGAGGTCGGCTCTCATCTTTTCATATAGTGAAGGTAAGAACTGTTTGGTCAGTGTTGTGCGACTTGGAATTACATATGCAGGATTCAGTTCATGAGTGTACTCACGAAATCCCCTGTCATTCACAATAGAAAACGGCTGAAAATCTACGGATATCATTTTGATGAGAGCTTGGTCGATTCTGCTCTGCTGTAATGGCATTATGGGCCTTGACACAAATGCACCCATGTGAGTTTGCTTCTGTTGGCTCCTTTGCAGTCCTTGTCCTGTTTGCAGGTGAGACCTTTGGTATGTCATAGTTGCTGCTGAGCTGGATGATGGCGTGCCAGAAGATGGGGTGGCTATTGCTGGAGGTGCTGCTGCTGTGCCTGTCGCTGAAATAGATGGCGCAGGGTCTGTTGGAGGACGACAATAATTTATTTTACTTGAAAAAGTACTGCAATGTTCATTAAAGTAAAATTACATTCTATCTATTCATATTTTATTTATTCAACGTGTGTTTATGCATAACATACAGTTTGTTGGGTAGAGTAGCTAAAATATTTACTCAAGAGTAACGTTACTTAGAAATAATTTTACCTAAATTAAAAGGTAGTGATCCAAATATATACACAAGTAAAAAAGTACTGAATTATATATAACTACTCTAATAAGTACAGTTTATTCAAAAACTTACTCAAGTACTTGTACCCACCTCTGATATTATCTATTATTGCCCAATGCCTAATATGTAGTCTAATCATAGCATACATAGTATATCTTTCTGCAGTCAGCAAATGTCGGCCTACTACAACGGACTATTATAATATTAGAAAGTGTTTGCTTAGTTATTGCATTTTACACTTCAATAATTACAGTCTCTTACAATTTTTGCCATAACTTACCAATAGTAGCCGTTGCATTTTGGTGGCGCTGTAACGCAACTATGGGGTGTTTGCTGGCTAAATGCCGTCTCATATTTGATGTGCTCCCTCCTTGAAATGATAAAACAACCTTGCAGAGTTGACATTTTGCTCGTGATGGGCCTGTTATTTCAAAGTGCATCCAAATATCGCTTCTTCTGCGGCTACTATCCATTTTCTATAAAAATATTAAAAACTTTCCGCCAAAAATGTGGTGTTACATAAATGTATTCAGTGTTAAAACCTACATTCCTGGTAAAAAAAAAAAAAAGGTCATAACAATTATATTATATAAATAATAAATACAAACAACTTTGATATTTTTCACACATTCATTTTTTATTGATGACAATCATTGTAACGCCAATAATGTTCGAGGTGGAACTCCTGTTGTCCGACGAGAGAAACACAGCTGAACAAATAACTTAATAAATAGCCAATTATATTTTTCAATCTACCTCACATAATACATGTAGAGGGTTATTATTTTTTGTCAGAAAATAAACTACTTTTTTCAACCCAGTTAGAGAACGAGAGTTACGAGACGAGTCGGTGTCCTGTCCTGTTGTTTCGACTCGCTTGATGCTGAGTGAGTGAGTCAGATCAGATGAACGATTCGTTCAGAGCTGAACGACTCGAAGGGGAGCGGGAAGGGGCTGATCCAGAACCACAGTGAGTCGTTCACTGCTCGTACGGCTCGTACTAGCAGGCGCGGGCAGGCAGGAAGGAGGACGTTACGGTGAAGTAGATGGTTGTAAACAATAAGCTTTTGGTTTCTGTGCTCAAACGAGCTACAGTACACACACACACAGTCACACACGTAATATTAGAGTGTCATTCATTGTGGCTAGTAGAAAACGCAGTCTGGAGGTCGCAGTTTAGAAAGTGGTGGGCGGACGAGTTAGTGAACGAGTTAATGGAGGCTGGGAATCACGACTCCCGAGTCAGTAAAGTGAATCTCGAGTTTTGAACGATTCGTTCACGAATCGCACATCACTAGTGTGGTGGTGGTGGAGCTT